AAAGTATTACTTTTTTTATGTTTTTGTACCTGGCAATCTTGCTGAACTCTTATTTCTATTTTCGGTGGATTCCCTTGCACATTCTAAGTTAATAATCATAAGCAAATGACAGTTTTCTCTTCCTTTCCAATATTTATATTTTAATAGTGAGCATCCTCATTTTGTTCCTAACTCTAATGGGTGTCTAATCTTTTGCCTTTGGTTATAATGTTTACTGTAGTTTTTAATATACATTGCTTGTCAACTTAAGAAAGTTTCCTATATTCCTAGTTTGCTAAGAGCTAGTTCTTCCCTTCTTTCCCCTCCCTCCAGAAATGATGCTGAATTTTATCATGTGACTTTTTCACATCTGTTGAGATGGTATGAGGTTTCTCACTTTTAATAAGATAATGTCATGAATTATATTGGGCCTTCTTTGCTTTCCTGGGGAAAATCTCAGCAAGGCCATGATACATTATTATTTTAATGCTACTGGCCTTGCTTTGCTCATGTTTGTTTGTGTTTACGTTCAAAGTATGATAAACCTATAATTTCCTGCCCACTCTATTCTTGTCTTGTTTTGATACTGGAGTCACGCCAGCTTTACAGACTTTTTTCCTCCCTTCCTTTGCTCCTGTTCACTACAGTAGTTTATATAAGCTGGGAATAATTCTGTCCCTTAGGTTTTTGCAGCACCTGTTTATATAGTTACGTGGCCTATTACCCATTTTTGAGGTAGAACTTTGGCTTTCTTCTCATTCTTTTCTACAGGGGCCCAGACACTGTAGAGGGTGCTACAGTGACCTGGGGTTTGGGCACCCTAACCGCCGAGGGACTGGGCATGCCCTTGCTTAGAAAGCTCCTGGCACATCGACCCTCTTAGAAAAAGAATGGTATGTTTTGAAACTTGGCCATTTTTCTCCTTGCTCCCTGGGTCAGCAGATTTCACTGGAACAGTTTCTTTCACCATCTCTGCGCCTGCTGGGCCTCCGGTAGGGAAGGCAGGGCAGCTCATGCTTGGCGGATCCCACGTCCTTGGTGCCCAAGTGATGCTCTGATCTTCCCTTTCTTGTATTACTATTTTTTTTCTCCACACCTCAACCTGCCCTTATCTTATTGTCCTTTCTGCCTTCTCTACTCTCTTTTTTCTCTTGCCCTCTTTTCTTCTGCCTGCTTCAATCTTTCCCTTCTGCGTTCTTTTCTCTCCAGCTTTACTTTCAGCTCTTCTGTCTTCCCGCAACCCCTTCCCTCTCTCCCCTCCTTGTCTCCATCCACCGAGCAGAGCAGCGAGTGACCTCTCCCTGTCCTCTCTCCGTTTGCCTCTGGCAGGAGATGGGCTGGCGATGAAGATCAAGCAAGAGAAACCAGACCGGCTGCTGCAGCCGCTGGCGCCGCAGGCCGTGCTTTCGGAGAAGGATAAGGAGAACATTTTCCAGCAGCAGCGGGGCCTCCCGCCATGCCAGACCATGGGGAGGCCTCGAGCCTTGGGGGGACAGGAGGAGACTGGGGGTCCAAGGCGGGCCCCTCCCACTGAGCAGGATGGGGGGCTGGCAGGCCAGGCTCCCGGGGTGATCCCTGGCCCCCTGAGCCCCGCGCTTTCTGCCGGTGAGGGACACTTTGTGTGCCTGGACTGCGGGAAGAGGTTCAGCTGGTGGTCGTCTCTGAAGATCCACCAGCGCACTCACACCGGGGAGAAGCCGTACCTCTGCGGCAAGTGCGGCAAGAGCTTCAGCCAGAAGCCAAACCTGGCGCGCCACCAGCGGCACCACACTGGCGAGCGGCCCTTCTGCTGCCCCGAGTGCGCGAGGCGCTTCAGCCAGAAGCAGCACCTGCTCAAGCACCAGAAGACCCACTCTCGGCCCGCCACCCACTCGTGCCCCGAGTGCGAGCGCTGCTTCCGCCACCAGGTGGGCCTCCGCATCCACCAGCGCGCGCACGCCCGGGACCGCCAGGGCGCCCGAGCCGGCCTGCACGAGCTGCTCCGGGACGCGGCGGTGCGCCTGGCCTGTCGCCTGCGGCCGCCGCCGCCACGGGGGCGCCCCGAGTGGGCCTGGCTGGGGCTCTGCCAGGGCTGGTGGGGCCAGCCTGGGGCCCGGACCGCGGAGCCCGGCCCCTCGGGGCCCGGTGAACAGCGCCAGTTCATCTGCAACGAGTGCGGCAAGAGCTTTACCTGGTGGTCGTCGCTGAACATCCACCAGCGCATCCACACGGGCGAGCGGCCCTACGCGTGCCCCGAGTGCGGCCGCCGCTTCAGCCAGAAGCCCAACCTCACGCGGCACCTGCGCAACCACACGGGCGAGCGCCCGCACGCGTGCCTGCACTGCGGCCGCGGCTTCCGCCAGAAGCAGCACCTGCTCAAGCACCTGCGCACGCACCTGCCGGCCGCGCACGCCGCGCCCTGCCCCCGCTGCGGGAAGACCTGCCCCAGCCGCGCGGCGCTGCGGGCCCACCAGCGCGCGCACGCCGCCGCCGAGCCGCTGCGCCCCGGGCCCGCCGTCCCGGGCGGGGAGCCGGGCTCCGAGCCGCAGGCCGAGGCGGCCCCGGGCTTGGCGGCGCAGCCGCGCAGCGCCCAGCGGTCCCGAGGAGCCGGGGACGCCATGTGGGGCCGGGTGCGCGCGGGCCTGGCCGGGCCCAACGAGCCGCGCCAGTTCATCTGCAACGAGTGCGGCAAGAGCTTCTCGTGGTGGTCGGCGCTCACCATCCACCAGCGCATCCACACCGGGGAGCGGCCCTACGCGTGCCCCGAGTGCGGCCGCCGCTTCAGCCAGAAGCCCAACCTCACGCGGCACAGGCGCAACCACACGGGCGAGCGGCCCTACCTGTGCGCCGCCTGCGGCCGCGGCTTCCGCCAGAAGCAGCACCTGCTCAAGCACCAGCGCGTTCACCGCGGAGCCCTGGCGCCCAGCCCCAAGGGGGAGGCGCGCTAGTGGACTGGAGCCGATCAGAACCGTGGTGGTGGTGGGGGGACGTGTGTGGGGGAGCGCGTGGGGAATGGGGTGGCCAGGAGTGCTGGCTCTTAGAAACCCCTGCGGTGAAACCAGTGGTTTCCTCAAGGCTCTGAAGGCCTGAGAACAGAGTTCCAGAAGCATCCCAAAGGGTGCTGGGAAAAGGTCCCAGGGTGTACTGAGGGAGGAGGTAAGAGCAACACTCCTCACTCCGGAGCCGGGAAGTGTCCGCGGTGGGCTGGGGGCCGTCTGTGTACCTTTCCAGAGGTTGGACGCCTGGCCTAAAGCACCGAGTGGTGGTGGGGCTGTTGGTGACTCTGGCGAGAGGCTCCTGGCGCCAAGTGGCCCAGGTCTGGACTGGTCAGCCTCAGCACTCGGGCTGCAGGATGGCCAGGGGGCCGCCCCTGTGGAAGAGTCACGGTAGACGCAGTGACACCAAGGATGGCAGCCAGAGGCTGTGGCTAGGGAGGGGCAAGCACATCCTCAGCACCAAGGCCAGTGCCGGCACTTAGTGGCCATTCGATAAGTATTTTTGGAAGGAGGGAATGGTTAGATGTCCTCCTCCAACCTTGAGTGCCCCACTGTCCAGGGTGCTGGGTATGGTGGGCTGACCCTAGAACTGGTGTGTGTGTGGTGGGTGGGCGTGGGATGGTCTCAGCTGAGGTTTGGTTGCTTGGGGAGGGGAGCTGGGTGGCAGAGCCAGATGTGCTGCTCCTACTCTGGTTCGGGGCTGTGCCCTAATTGGCCTGGCTGACTTCATTGACTTGGATCCTATCAATCCCAGTCTTGCAGAAGAGAAAATGAAGGATTGAATATTCCACGTGGTCTCATTGTCCTCCCTGAGCCACCCTTGCTAAAGCAAGGGTGTGTGTGCTGAGGGATCCGTTTGCCCTGGGACCAGGGCAGGTAGCTTTTTGCCGTGAGCACAGCCACCCCCCACTGCCAGTTCTTGCCTGGGGTGGAGGGCAGTTTTCTCTCTTCTCACCTTCAAGTCAGTTTTGTGTGCCTTCCCACATACTGCCTTCCACCTCCTGCCTCCAAGTGGTCACCCCTTGTGCCCTTCCAAAGCAGGGTTGGCGGGGGCCCTGGTGCTGCAGGAGAACCCAGGGCTTTGGCCCAGACTGTATCTTCCCAGAGGAGGGGAGGAGGTGGGTACTGGGGTGCCAGGCTTGGATAGCTGGGAGGTGGGAGGAAGAAAGGGGGACCCCAGCATTGACTCTGGAGGTGGAACTGTACCTGTCCATCTCCCAGGACCCCTGATTCTTTTCTGAACACACAGAAATGCTACCTTCTCCAGGAGCTGCTGCAGTTTAGCCTGGCTTCTGGTCACACCTCTTTTCCGATCTTGTTAATCCTCTTTATCTGGTACGCTCTAGTGTTGTAGCATTGAACAAAGACATGAAGGTGCCGGGGAGGACAAGGAGGACCACCCAGCAGTTCCAGCTTACCTGGTGGGTAACACGGTGCTGGTGATGGTTGGCGCTCAGCCAGGGCTGCTGATGCCTGGTCCAGTTCTTTGATCACAAGCCATGCTGTGTGGAATGTCACACTGGGCCAGGTGTGCCAGAGTCATTACCAGCTACCTGAGCACTTGGCTCTTAGCAGCAAGAGGAAACCAAACCAGAAGGGTTTTCCTGGGCACTCTCTCTGCCCAAAGCAGCCCTCGTGTTCCTGTCTCTGACGCCCTGCCACTCTCCTGGGACTACCCCAGACTGTCCTGCCTCTCAGCAAAATCTACCTTAACCGTGGAGGAGACTCAGGAGTCATTTGCTTCTTTCTCTTTGTCACTTAGCAAATTCTGAAATCAACTTGAGCAAGCCCACCTACTCCAGGAGGGCATCCCTGAGTGCCATCATTCATTCCTGGGTTAGAGAGCCACTGCCTGCAAGGACCTGCAGGAACACTGGATCCCTGTGGAATCAGGTGCCTGAGGGGGAAACGCAGGCAGATACCGAAGAGATGAGTCCTGCAGGAGTGTCTTTACAATAGAATGTGTTATTTTCCCGAAATGGCCTGTGTTTAAAGACCAGATCAGTCAAATAGCTGTGTTGGTAGAACTTGGGGTTAATGAGGCCTAATTGTAGTCTTTTTTTCTCCTGTACAAATCCATGAGAGTGCCTGTCCACTGACCCCAGGTGACTGAGCCTCACACAAATGGGTGCTTTGGGTCACCCCAGAGGGCCAGGGTCAAATCCTTCAGAGTGAAGAATTACTGAGGTATATTGCTGCATTCACAGGTCAGGGTACTGGTTCACTAAACAAGCCTACTGGGATGCTGCAATGACTAAGGCACCGTCCGTACCCTTGAGAAGCTTAAGGACCTTCATAGAAAATCATTTTGATACACATGTGGCTTGGAACTCTCTATGTGGTCAACTCTTAAACAAATTGTTTCCAGTCCCAGCTCTCTTAGCAAGTCTTTCTTATTCGTGATCCCATTTAATCTCACCATGAGTCAGATGTAGGCAGGACAGTGACATGCAGGGAAGGGGGTTGGGACAGTGTGACTTCTCCAGCAGATCATGTTGCAAAATGCCAGCAGGTCCCAGGCCTCCTGTTAGCCCAAGCTGCTTCTGTTGTCACAATCACAGGCTTCTCCAAGGGTGCTGTGGCATTGCCAACTTAATTTTCATTCCCTTTCATTTTAAAATGATAAAGCTGGGTCAGAGAATATTGGGGAAGGGGAATGTCATAAACTCAATGACAAGAAAGACTTGTTATCCTAGTGGTTTACAATCCAAAATACTCTGGAGCATGCTGAGATTAAGGTGGTTGCACAGGGGAACGAAAAACAACCATGAGCAAATAAATCAAAATCTTGAAGGGTTTACATCCTGTCCACAGCCAGGTAAGTGCAGGTCTGCGGTGGGGCGTGGCCAGGCTTACAGCAGGCCACGTGAGCTTGGTGGAGCTGGGGTTCCTGGACTGCCTGCTCCATCCTTGTGTGCCTTTGTTAGGAGCAGGCTGCAGCTAAGAAAAATGACTTAGGTGCTCAGAAAATGGTTGTCCTTTGGCAAGCAACATGAGCTTCAAGCCAGCTGGCGAGGTGGTAGGCCTTCTTGGGAAGGTTTGGTGCCGCAGGGGTTGCAGGCTCAGCTGCCATGGCGAGCTGCCTGGAGGAGAGTAGACTGCAGAGGCTAAAGGAGCAGCTGCTAAGGGGTGCCAGCGTACTGGCCATGGGGGACAGCAGGCCCAGCAGGGACTTGGCAGAGAGAAACTGGTGGGAATGGGGGACACATCTGAAACCTGTTTTTATTTTCAAGACAGAGTCTCGCTGTGTCGCCCAGGCTAGAGGGCAGTGGCGTCATCAGAGCTCACTGCAACCTCAAACTCCTAGTCTCAAGCCATCTTCCTGCCTCACCTAGTAGCTGGGACTACAGGTGTGAGCCACCACACCTGGCTAATTTTTTCTATGTTTTGTGGAGATGGAGGATCTCGATCTTGCTCAGATTGGTCTCAGAATCCTGGCCTCAAGCAAGGCCTCCCAGAGTGCTAGGATTACAGGTGTGAGCCACCGAACCCAGCCCCTTTTATTTTTTAAAAGTGGTTTGAGTTTGGTAAAGAAATGTCTTTGATCTTTTGGCAGGAGGAGGAGTATTGGGGTCAAAAAGTATGTTCTCACATATCACTGCTGTTCCTGGACCACTGAAGGGTGGTGAAGAGGGGTATATGAATGGTACCCCTTAGGCTAAAAGGACAGTAGCATCTCTTGGGTTGCTGAGATTTGGAGGGGAAGGTGTCCTAGACTAGTGCTGTTCAACAGAGGACTTCTTACGATGATGACAGTGTTCTGTATCTGTGCTGTCCGATACCACAGCCACTAGCCATATGTGGCTATGGAGCACTTAAAATGTGGCTGATGTGGCTAAGGAACTGAATTTTAACTTTTATTTAATTTTAATTAAACAGCCACACGTGGCTATTGAACAGTAGTGATGCTGTTCCTATTGACAAGAAACTAGAAACATTATTTCTTCCCTCTCACCTTCCTCCCTCCAGCGCTGCCCCGGCTGTCAGACGTCGTTTGCAGATAAGCATTCGTTCATTCAACCCCACCCCCACTGGTCTAGAGAGAGTCAGATAGTTTTGGGGTTAAATTCTGGCTTTGCCATTTAAACTCTAGGTCCTTAGGCAAGGAACCTATGTAAAGCATATGGTGTAGTGTCTGGCACTCAGCAAACACTCAATTAGGGGTAGCTGTCATCGCTTTAATAAAACAGTGTGTGGCTGCTTACGGAGCATTTGTGTGTATGGGAAGAGATGGAAAGGGTCTTCCCCTGTTTGGCTTAATCCCCATAAAGAATTAACCATCCCTAGTGTTAGTAGGTCTGCCACAAGTTTAAAGGTTAGGCTGAATTGATGTTACAGGTGACGTCCTGGGGTTTAATTCCAAGAAAAAAGAACATTGGAGCAGATGAGCCCTCGCACCCAGAGGCCCACATACTCACCCAGTTCGCTGTGGTGCCTCTCAGTCCTCAAAGTTGTGGCTGGGGCTGTGCTTTGCCTGCGTTGGCACACTGGCTGACCCTGGGCCACCCTTTCCCTCCACTGCTGCCCCGCTGTCAGATGTAGTTTGCAGATGAGCATTCATCCATCCAACAGACATTGACGGCGGACCTGTTATAGGCTGGACATTTGTGATAGGGAGATGCTAAAAACAGTCCCTGCCCTTTGAAGTTCATAACCTGGTGGGGAAAACTGTGCTGAATTCCAAATTTGAGGTCAGCACAAGGTGCTTTGGAGAGTAGTGTCCAGTCTGGGGGGGGGGGATGGGAGGAGCTTGCCAAGGGGGAGGGGCTTGCCCAGCTGGAGAAGGAAGCCTCAGGGATGCGGCCCACAGGAGCTGGAGGATGTCAAGAGCAGCGGGCTGGAGCTGCCCAGGGGAGGCCTATGGGTCATCTGTCTGTCCATCTGATGTGCCCCAGGCTAAATACAGTGCCGGGCTCAGCCCAGCTATATTCTCTACCCACATAGGAGCCATGGCCAGCTGTTCCCCAGGATGCCTTGGTTGTGGGTGGGCCAGGGCCAGCTGCCACATGGACCTCGTGGGGTAGTGGTGATCACCATGCCAGCCACGGCCCTGCCTGTGTGAAGAAGCATAGCCGGGTTTGTCGGGTGTTTCCATATGGTCGTTCTATGGTGTTCACCACATGAGAACAGGGCACGGGGTGCCTAGGGGAGGATGGGGGGGTGTATGTATATGCAACTAGAGAGGCGAAGTCATACCTCAGCCCTCGGCGTTCCCCACTGAGATGCAGGGCGAGTTTTAGAAGGTACTATCTGCCTCCCACCCCCATGCCCTAGCTGTGTTCTTTTCTATTTTGGCACAGCTTACCTAGAAAATGCTGCTAAAAATATGGGTGACATCCTCAGATATATTATTGATTTTGCTTTTAAAAAACTTGGGCTTCACTAAGTGTCCCCATTTCTCTTGTAGTTTTCAGGAGAGATGAAAACTGGTTGCTCTGGCCAGGTGACAACTTCTGCAACCAGGGCTGGAGAGCTGGGAGTGGGGTGTGTGGGTTGTCACCAGCGGTCAGGAGGTCCTGCGGTCAGTGCCATGGGATCTTTAAGCTTGGCCCTGGGGTAAATCATCCTGGTGGACTCGTTTCTTTGGCTTCCACTATTCCCTCCCTGTAGCCTCTGTTTAAAATACCAGTCTCCTTGGGATGTCTAACTCATGAAGTCCCACATCCCTCAGTGAGGTGCTACGGGAGCTGCCTGGTTAGGGGTAGGGGTGGGTGCT